TAATTGATTATGGGGATTTTTTTCCATACTTTGACCTCCTCGAGTGTTTGCAAAGTTAAACATGCTCTATCTAAATTATGGTTTCTTTACCAATTAGATGTTAAACATGCTTTCTTACATGAGAATTTTGATGAAACCGTAAACATGCATCAACATTCTAGATTTCGTCATCCTCAATTTCCTGATCATGTTTGTTTATTAAAGAAATTTCTATATGGTCTCAAACACGCACCTCGCACCTGGTACCAACATTTTACTGAGTATATAGTTACAATGAGTTTCTCTCACAGTGTTTATGATCACTCTCTATTTATATATCATGATGGCAATAACATCATTTATATTCTTTTGTATGTCAATGACATTATTCTTGTTGCATCATTTGACACACTTAGTGAATCTATTATGGCACAACTGAGTTCTGAATTTGCCATGAAGGATCTAGGTCATCTTAGTTTTTTTAATATTATTTTTGTTACCATACATTTCGAAGGTCTTTTATCTTCTCAAAAGAAATATGCAGAAGAAATTATATAGAGCATGCATGTCGTCTTACAAGCCATCATTTACACTAGTAGACACAAAGGTGGAACTCAGTGGTTCTTCAAGTGACCCTTACCTTGATCAAACATAATATCTTAGTCTTACTATAGCATTGCAATACTTGACATTTACTCAACCATACATCTCATATGTCGCTCAACATGTGTGTTTTTTTATGTATGATCCAAAAACACAACACATGTCTACTTTGGAACACATTACTTGAAATATTCTAGGTATCATAAACTTCAGCTTCCAAATGTATCCTTCATCCATTGACAAGCTCAACTCTTACACATACATAGATTGGGTTGGTTGTCCATATACAGATTAAACTCGCTTGTTTTAGATTTTTTTTAAATAATTTTTATAGTGTTACATATTTTTTTAAAAAAACTTCAAATGAAAAATTGGTTTAATTAGTTATTCATAAAATATAATTTTAGGTATTTCTTCCGTTTACTATAACTTTATTTGTATATCAAAACTTCAAAAAAATATTTAAATTTGAATCTGTTTTGAATAACTTTAATAAAAATCATTTTTGAGACGTATCTTTTTTAGAAATTATGTGATTTTAACTATATTTTAATCTTTAATAATGTATATTTATGTTCTTGGATGTGAAAATTAGTCTTTTAATTTATTAAAAAATGAGTTTAAAAAAACTAAAATTTTAAAATTTATATTCATAAAAATCACTTTTGAAAATACAAATAAAAAATTGTTTTCTTAAACTAAAACAAATAAGTCCTTTATTAGCCAAAGCTTCTCGATCAAAGTATCACATACTGAGAGGCTACCAACTCTAACAAGTCAATTTTAAAGCCAAAGAAGATATCCAACTTCATTCCTAACTAAACAACCCACTAAGACATTCCATTACTAATACAAAAAGAAACATAGCAAAGAGATTGTTTGCTTTAACCCATTTGAATGCTAATTTTTTTAGGTCAGACAATCATTAACCAACACCACAAAATTTTTATAAAAACACACACACACAAGCGCGCATCCAAAATTGCCACTTAACGTATACCAAAATCTAATAAACATATAATTCAAAAATTCCAACTAATTAAATTGTACACTTTTTCGAAGTTCACTATAAAATGAGACATGTTTTTTTGGTTTTTTTTCGCTAAATCAATCAACTCATTCATAACAACCACCCTCATCAACTGACAACCCCTCTTTAAAGAATGTCAATTGATTAGGTATAACAAGCTTATTCATATCCTCAACCAGTATATGCACCAACACTTTAGTGACAAGCTTCTAAAAGAAAACAACCCGAGAAATAAATTAAAAATCACCCACCTGAGTTGGGGATTCCACCTTTGGAATCCAAGATAACAAAATAAGAGGAAAAGTTACAAATGAGAAAGGCTAAACAACGAAAAATTGATCAAACATAGAAGCTAAACAATAGAACTGATGAAACCTAACACTCAAATCATCCCAAAAAAAGATGCGTAAATCTTCTTAAAAAGGAAATCTTAAACCCATAGGTTTGGGACCCTTTATACCGTTATATTGGACGGCCGCCTAATCAATTTTAGTGAGAAGAAAAAAAAACAGAAAGAACAAAATTATCCCCAATCAAAAAGGAGTGAAAAAAGTCATATCATGTCGAGGTCGGTCAATAAGAAGTTCCTTAAAATGATTTGTAAAATAATTAACCACTCCCTAACGAATTTTAGACGCCCTTTCAACTCAATCATAAGAAGCACTAAGATAATATTTTGCCTATTTCTACTATTAACACACACACATGGAATAAAAAAAGCAGTTTTGACATTTTCCTCATTTAACCACTTAATTTCGTATCTTTGATATGACTAAGAATTAAAGATCTACAATCGCCCTCGTCCTAGTAACAATCTTAGAGAAATCTCTTTTCATTATTAGAATTTAAGCTCACCACCTCTCTTAAATATTTAATTTAAAAATCAAAATTATCAAACACTTGCTTTGAGCAAATAATAAGATGTGAAGGGTGTGATATGCATCATTGGTTTATTTCAAGATTTAAACAGAATTGGCCAAGTTTTTATGGGACAAAATGTACAACCAAAGTATAAAAACATCCTATAAAATTTTTGAAAAGGTCCTTCTAATTTTGAAAATACATATCTGGACGCACCTGAAGATGCATTTTTAGATTCACCATATACACACCCCATTTATTCCTAACTAAGACACACTCATTTTGAGATAAATTGATTTAGAAATGCACCTTTAGATTCATTTCCGACAGAATACGAAAATGCGTTTTCTAACACACTCTAATCACACCAAAACATGCCCAAACTAATTCTCACCCTAATTTTTTTTCTTCGAAATTTAGTCCAGAAATATATCTATAGACCTACCATGTTCTCCTCTTTGTTTTTAGTGTTTGTCTTACTAGAGCAAAATAACAAATGAAATTTCAACCACTCTAATGACTACTTGGTGTAGTGCGTAGTAAAAAAGATAGTTTAAGATATTTTTTTCCAAGTTGTAATACACTATTGAGTTGACTACAATTCACGTGTACTTCTAATAGCATACAATTAAATTAGGACTAAAATTACGTTTGAATTTATAGATTTTCTCCCTATTTTTAATAAATTAAGTTCAAATTCTATACAATAATAAGATACTAAATGTTTTTTTATTCAACATGAAATATGTTTTATCTTAAAATATAAGGTATTTTTAGTTTTAATTTTTGTAATTAAAAAAAATCATTTAAACAAGTTTATACATATTTTCTGATTCAATAAGTTCTTGAAAATGCATTTCCATAAGTAAATTTAGTCATAGAATTAAGATCTACCTCGTGTGTATGAAATGTGTTCAAAAATACATTTTTAAATTTTAAAAATATTTTTTATTTTTCACAACATGAGGAAGCAATCCTTAAAATACATTAAACAATTCAATGATTCTATTGGAATTGTCATACACACAATCCCTTCATCATCCTTCGATTTGAATCAAATATTTGATCAATCTAAGCTCCAATTTTTGCTTCAAAGTTTCCACCATTTGGTTTAAGACTACCTTTTCTTGATATGGGTAGTTATTTTTTAAAGTACCAATTCACAAGCTTAAGGAATTCTTGAGTTTGTAACAGAGCATTCAACATGGAAAAGAGATATTCAAATGTTCTAGTTAGAGGTGCCAAAATGTATGGATTGAATGGATATGGATTGTTAATAGATAGATCAAAACAATTCATTAATCCATTAATAATTCACTAAACTCTCTTAATAAAAATTCAATCAAATCCATCTATTAAAAGATAAAATCTATCAAATTCATCCATCCAAAAAATTAATTTAAAAATTCTTAATTTAATAAGTGACAACATAATATCAAATGGATTTATAAAATGAGATGGATGGATTGAATTCATCCATCCATATGAGTTAGTGGATGAATTTGACCAAATCCATTAAATTATTTTGTCTTATGAATGAATTGGATGGATAAATTATTAGATAGATAATATCTAAATTGATTTCATTGCCACCTCTAGTTCTAGTCCAAAAATGAAACTCATCTCTTATGAAAGTCCTGATTTACACTTTTCTGTACTACGTTCATCTCAATAATACTAAATGAGCTAAATAACTGCATTGAATGTGTAAAAAATCCCACACTTCATAAGACATCTCAACAAACACATATACCCACACTAAAAGATGTCGGTGACTCTAAAAACTATGTATGCAGTCAATATTTGGTTCATATTTGAACGTCGTATAAGATATCTTGTGGACCCTCTAAAACTTAACCTAACCTAACACAGATCAAAGGATATAATCAAGCCCAGAGCAAAATGTAAGTCTCCATGGTTATACCACATTAAATTTGTGAAAAAAATAAAAATTAAAAATTAAAAAGAAAGCAAATCACAGAACAACAAACAAGACTATCCCCTCAATTAAGGATAGGGTGACTTTTATCAGTTAACAATCCAACCGATTCCATACTTCCATTCCATAACTAAAAGCTGAAAGGGATTTGATGTTATACTAGAAACAAAAGCACTTTCCCCAGCTTCCAAACAGTACTTAAATTACAAAGTTCTTCAACATATATTTACCGAAACAGATTCCAAATAAATCTTTCTAATTACTAACTCCAATAAAATCCTGGTAATTATTATTATTTCCCTACAAATGCATGTTTATTCAAATGTTTTTTACTTATAATAGCGGACTTGAATTTTTTGTATTTTTTATAAGAAAATCGCAGGACAGCATGAAAACCAAAAAATGCTAAATAGTTTGAATGGCATCCATAAACACATTTAATATTGCTAAATAGTTTGAATGGCATCCATAAACACATTTAATATTACTAGTATGAACAGTGTCCATAACCAAAGGGTTGAACAACAAGACAATGCAAAAATATCTTTTACTTAAATAGAAACAAGAAACTAGCCGCAGGACTTGAAGCTAGTTCTTTGGGCCAATATCTTTCAGGGCATTAATCTGCTCCTCGCCCATTGCAGACATCACAGACACAACGAGGTCTTTACCTTCAGCAAAACCATCCTTTATCTGCAATGTTCAATACATTTTAGACATATTGAGAAGAATAAAAATCGAACAATGAACATGATTGGATAAAATTCCCATTGAATACTTGAGGAAATAGAAATATTAAAAACATCTTATAATAGTTATGAATTGTTAATCACAAAACTACTACTTTGTTTTCACCAGTTTATAGTTTTCAAAGATTTTCCCGAATTCATTGTTTTCAAAGATTTACCCTTATTCATTGTTTTCAAATATGTTTATACCATAGGAAGAGCTCATATTAGCTAGAAGTCAAACCAAATTGAGTCAAATAATTCTCAATTAAAATGATCATTCTGATATGAAAATAAGATTCAGGTAAAACAGTAATGACATATTATAGCATGCTTAAACAAGATGAGAATCCATTAACATACAAAGCAGTAGATTTCTACAAACCTGAGTAAGCAGACTGTCATCGGTAGGGAGCTTCAGGTCATCCTTGGTGTTGCCATTTTCAGTGAGCAGACTCACCTATAAAACAACAACATTCAAGTAAAGTTTCAAAAATAGAGTTCTAGATAAGTCACTGATTCGTAAGTAATTGCCAAAAATACTACAATATTTCAACTCACAAATCCATCCTCAGAGATATCAATCAACTGGTAGTCAGTACGATTCACATGGGGAACCTAGAAGGAAAAACAAAGAAAAATGTCATCAAAGAAAGGAATCTTAGAAGTGAAGAAACATCGTATAAATGACAAGGTGTACTAGTACTTACATCACAATTGTGGGAAGAGGGCACAATATCTTCAAGCTTTTTGGCAGTGAAAATATCAATTCCAACAAAGTGGCACTTAGCATGACCATGCTTACCAGTCTTTGAGGTTGAAACCTCAACAACCTGCCATACAAGAATCCATCCACACCCATTAATCGAAGTATCAAGTAAACCACCAAAGTCCAAAACAATAACAATTATAAATTCAAAACAATACTCAAAATCACTAAAATCCAGTCGAATCTAAAAGGTTTCAAATAAAAAGCTGCAACCATGACAGACAGCAACATTAGATTGTTTGATGTCTAGCTACTACAAATAATCATGGTCACATCAGTTGCATTTTGAATGGACTCTCTGCAATATCAAAGGATCGCACCACGGTCACAATTTAAAACCTTGCCAAACAAGAACACTAATATGTTTGGATCAGCATTTCAATTGCCATTACCACAACCCAATGTACTTTTTAAAGTGATTTTGAGAAGCTCTAAATCTTAGCCTTTCCGTTAAGGTGACTTTTAGTTGTGATTTGGTTGAATTTGACTCAATACCTATGTGTTTGAATTCACGTTAGAGAACCAAATCACTGTGAAAAACCACATCCTAATGCAAAAAAAAAAAAAAAAAAAAAAAACGTGAAAAATAATGAAACAACTATTTGAAGCTTTTCAGTTAACGTGGTTTTTAAACGTGATTTTAATCAAATTAATGGCCATCCAAACACATACTAACAAATACAATCCTAAAGAGAAGGCATAACAGAAACTGTCCACACCCATCAATAACAGAATCAAATAAACCACCAAAATACCAAAAAATTGAAGGAAAAAAAAAACAGCCAAACAAACAATAACACAACCATAAATCCAAAATTACTACTCAACCACACACGAATCCAGTCAAACACAACCAAAGCCACATTACAAAAGGTTTTAAATAAGTTTCCGTGACTACACTATATACACTGCAAAATTAGGGTAAAATTTATTATATCTGCTGCATTTGACTAGATTTTTTCTCCTCAATATGAAGGGGATTATCAAGCAATGAGCATGCACACAGACAGGTCACCAAACACAACACCGACACTAATACTAACATGCACTAACATGTTGAAACCGGTATTAATTTGAAAATATTGAATAAATTACAATTGTCGGTGACACAGTGTCGTGTCAGGTGAAGATAAATTGAATAAATTAAAAGTAACTCGGTAATTACAAGGCCTTTTGCAGAGGTGCCGGTGTTCCAGAGTTATGAAATGACCATAATTAAAACCCTTGCCAACCAACAATACAATACAAGATGAACAATCACAAATTCAACCCTAAAAAAGAAAATGAAACATTATGTAACATAATTTTTCATCTTTTTTATTCAATTTAGCTAAAGTTACAACAACAAGCCATAAATTAGGTTAAGTCAAGCAATAGATCTCGAAAACCTAAACCATAAAACACAAACTAAATTGTAACCAAAAAACCATCAAACCCTAGCAAAAAAACAAAGCATAAAATTAAAATCAAATTAACGAAACTATATGAAAACGAAATTGAACAAAAAAGATGATGACCTTGCATGGACGATTCTTGATAACGATGTATCCGTTTTTGCGGATAGTGCCGGCTTGCTGAGGATAAGTCTTGGAAGCTCCGGCATCGGCCTTTGACTCGAAGTGGTGTTCCTCGTCGGACATGATGACTCACTGATTCAACTACTCGACTCACTGATTCAACTCGGATTTCCTCGAAACCGAATGTGATGTAAGTGACAGTAGGGTGGGGGCGGAGAATAAAAGAATCAAGAGGATATCAATTTATATATTTAGGTTGAAACTAAATATTTGGTTAGTTATTTTTTTGTTTTTCGTTTTATATTTTTTAATTTTTTAAATTTAAATTGGTTGAAAAAATATATATTTGTTTTACAAGAAAATAGATCTTTTAGTTTGGTACTTTGGTTACTTCTCCGGAAAAATTGCAAATGTTAGTTTTAACAACTAGTTAATATACTGTCAAGAAAAAAAAACTAGTTAGCATTTAAAATTAGAATATTTTATTTTATGAGAAAAAAAGTCACTAAATAAATCCATATAGTGTTTTTCAAATATACTATTTGTTTAGACTATTGAAATAAATAATTAAAATTTAAAATGAAAAGTTTTATGTAGGGGTTTGTGAAAAGAAAAAAGCTGATTTTATGATAGGCAAAAGATTGGAACCAACACATATTAGATATACAGGATAAATATTTAAACGGTGAATATTTTGAAGTTTATATTAATCTTGCACAAAACTACTATATTTTTTTATTTTGTGGCTAAATATTTTTTCCCTTAATTATATTTAATTATATTTTTAGATTTAAATTGATCTCTTAATTATTTTTTGTATCAAATAAATCTCTAGACTCTTTTGATCTTTTTAGTCTAATTAGCAAACGAAAAAAATTTAAAAATTTGTTGTTAATTAGACAAAAATTAGCAATATGACACGTTTTAAATAGTTAAAAGATCAATTTAACACAAAAAATGAGTAAGAGACCGATCTAAATCTATGGATAAAATTAAAGGACCAAAAATAATATTTTAACTTATTTTTTTATTTTATTTTTTAAAACTTTTAAGAATGTGTATAGTAGTAGCATGGACTTAACCAACCGAGTCTACAAAATATAAAATATTGTAATACACCAAATATATATATATATATATATATATATATATATATATATATATATATATATATATATATATATATATATATATATATATATATATATATATATATATATATATATATATATATATATATTTTAGTGTTTTAAGAAACTGAATTGATCGGTTGGTCTAATAGATCGAATCAAAAAAATCAAAGGAGTTATTGATCTAATGTGATTGTTGAATTGGATAAACTATTGAATTAATAGAAATATGTTATAACCCTTAAAAATTGACAAACCGAATATTTTAAAAAAATCAATGGATTAAATGCTTGATTTTTTTTATTAAACCAAACAATATCTTTTGATAAATTTTCTTATAAATAAAACTAAAATATAAACAAACTTTGTTTAAAACTTATTTAAAATGATTCTTTTTCTTTTAAAATTAAATTAATTAGATTTTGTTTGAAATTCATTTAAATTTGTATTTTATCTTATTAGATTTTAGTTCAAAATTTTTGAACTTATTTGAATTTGAATTTTATATTATTTATTGGATGTGATGATTATATTTATAATTTAAATTTAAAAAATAAACTTATAAAATTGTGATATTCAGAAATTTTAAAATTTATTGGTCTCATGATTTTTTAGAGACAGAATCATTTAATTCAACCAATTTAATAACTATATTATTTTATTATAAAAACTAATTTTGTTTAACTGAACTATCCGATTTAATTCGGTTTAATATGTGATTCGATCGATAACACATTAATTTGATCAATAATCCAATATCATCACCAATTTGTTCAGCAATCCATTTAAAATATTCGTTTCTTTTAAATCTCAATATTTTTTTTTTAAATCTCATTATTTAGTTAGTTCAACAGTAGAGCAATATAAATGATAGTAAATAGTCTAATTAAAATCAGAACAAAAACTTTTTTAGAATAACATGCTAGTAGATTTTACCGCTAGACTCTAATCCAATCCATTGGATTCTAACAAAACCTATATTAAAAAGTATAAATATGTCCAACTTTATTCAATATAACAAGAAAATAATATTTAATTTTAAAATATTTCACTTAATCTTGTTGAAAATACTCAATTGTTCTCTCCTTTAAATTTGACACATCATTGAATTGAGGATATTTTGTGTCCAAAATTTATATTTTTACAATCAAACTATCATTTCTAAAGATATTGTTTACTATCAACTATATTTATTTATGCTTTATTTCAAATAACTTTTATATCTTTAATTTGTAGTTGTAAACAAACTATTTTGAGTTGCAAACTTTTGAGCTTTAATTTTTCCAATGCAAAACTTTACAACTAAAAAATCTAAACAACATACTTCAATTTTTTCTCATTACCCAACAAACATTGCTACCAACCCTCTATTTTCTCTCTTTGGCCTCATCGTTTCTTTCAACTTATCTTTCTCCAACTTTAACATCTCACTTTTCAATCAAATCAATTTATGCAAACATGAATATCAGTGCTTCGGAACAAAGACGAAGTTGTAAGGTGATGTGTCCATCCGAACATCTCGATTTTATCACACTAACGTTCTTCGTTCATCTTGATTCTTCTTGATTTTCTATTTTTCAAAAAAAAATGTCCTTTTCCATTCTGCTTGATCTTTGACATCTGCTTGTTTTTTTTCTTGATCCTAACCTATTATTTTATGTGTTGAATGTTTACTTATCTGATTCTAAATAGTATGTTTTAGGATTTTTTTCCCCCTCTTTTAAAGCTAAAAACTTCACATATTTTATGAACATGGACCTTATGGAGAAATATGCATACACAAACCATACTATTCTTCCAGAGGCATTAGAGAAATGGAACATGGACCTTATGGAGAAACTGCTTCCACGTCATGTCGAGATTATATAAATCATTGATAAGGAGGTAATACCAATTATTGTTTTGCCTAAACTCTTCTGTTTCAGGTAAAGAAATTGAGTTATTGCTGATATTCATATTTGACAGCTGATTCGAACCATAGTCATAAAATATGACAAAACAGATCCAGACTTGATTGATAAGAAATTAGAGGATATGAAAATAATAGAAAAGCCCTTCATAAATATTTTTCTTATTTTTGAATAATAATGCATTTCACTTGTTCGATGAAACTCTCGTTAAACAAAAAATGTTTTGATATGCTCTGAGTTGATGTGCAGTTTGATTAGTATATGTATATGATTTTAATGGATTCTACAAATATTAAATATTGGTAGTCATTGAGTAACAACTCTAAATATCTAAATATTTTGCTCCAAGGTATTCTTTTATTTTTATTGGCCCATGTTCATATTATTTTTATTGTTGTTTTGTAAAAAAATGTTCTTTTCTTTGTATTCAAGTTACAACTATAATTGGACAACATCTGTTTATTGTTTTGTCTCAACAGTTTATCAAATTTAAGCCTTTGTTTTCAAATTTAAACCTTTGTTTTGATTGCGTTGTTGGTGAATAATTGGGATTATTATGTCGAAAATAACTTATGTTGACAATATCTGCATGCAATAACAATGATAGGGAATGAAGAAGGCATTAGAGGTTACTGGAAGGGACGAGTTCAAGTCTCGGTAGTCAACACACAAACGAACTTTTCCATCTTTCTTTGGAATAGGCACAATATTAGCTAACCAATATGGGTATTCAGATGTGACAAGAAAACCTGCATCGATGTGCTTATATACTTCTTCCTTAATCTTCAAAGCCATGTTGGGATGAGTTCTTCTGAGTTTTTGTTTGACCGGTGAGCATTCTGGTTTTAAAGGCAGGTGATGTTCCACTATAGTAGTGTCGAGACCAGACATATCTTGATACGACCAAGCAAACACATCGACGTACTCCTTGAGAAACACTATCAACCTTTCTTTCACGTCCGACTTGAGCAGAGCTCAAATTTTCACCTCTTTACGGATTTCCTTCGTACCTAGATTAATAACTTCCACAAGTGCTTTGTGAGGCTGAATGGCTTTATCTTTGCTTTCAAGCAATATGGAAATCTCTTCAGGGATCTCTTTTTCTTCTTCCTCGGCTTCAAACACATGAAACTCAAAGTTTAGAGAAGGCAATGGATCATTATTTCTGATATTTTGTTCGTGCAATAATCTGCGCATGTGATATGGATTTATTTTAGATTTAGTAAGTGAAAGTGTGTACGCAAAGTGATTATTGCTTAAAGAAGCGAAAAAGATAAAAGAAAAAGCTAGGAACACAAAATGGTGCTTTTATTAATGATAGCAGATTTCAAACAACATGCCTTAATGCAAGATCACCTTTGCCTTGGACAGAGCAAAATGGAATTATTAAAATATCCTCACACAACAACTTTTTCGCCTTGGGCAGAGCGAAAAACTAAAAAACAAACGGACAATTACTTTCATATATGGATAATAACAGAGACGTCAACAGTACTCCAATTTCGGGCGATTGCTCCAGGCGTCACGAAGTTGGGTAGGTCTTCATCAGAATCTTCTATGGTGATAGCATTGACTTCAAAATGGTACTCTTTGCGTCTTGATCTGGGAGAATAGAAAGGCACATATGCATCTTCAGTTTCAAAATCATAACCAAGGCACTATAGGTAAGGCTTATAATATTGATAAGGAATGGAGAGGCATTCAGAACCATCTGATATATAACCCTCAAATCATCTTCAGATACAACATTGACATGGGGAGGATGAATGACCCCTCCGCTGTAGAAAAAAATTTCGATTGGTGGAGTAGAAGAACTTCTAGTGACTTGCTTGTTGGAGTTGGTGGGAGAAAAACCAAGACCTTCCTATTCTTGTTTTCAGGTAAAGATAACACCTTTCACCACCCTTCTTGGAAACCACTCTTCACGACTTGTTGTGCATCTTTGAAAGACGAAATGAAAACTCCAGGCTTTCGGGTATCATTATCAGCAATTGAAAGTGCTTGGAACTGAGTTCCAACTTCCTCCTCTGCATCAACATAAGAGAATGAAGAAAGATGGCTTACCACCAGGGCTCTCTCCCCA